GGATCTTAGCCTCCCCAGGGATCAAGTCCTCAGACCCTGTGTTGGAAGGCGAAGTCTTAACCACTGGATCGCCAGGGACATCCTCCCCATCACGTACCCTTTTGTGTCTGGCTTCTCCGCTCACATCATGTCTGTGAAATTAATCTATGTCATGTGTACCCATGGTTTGTTCTCTCTATTGAAAAGCAGCGTTCCGCTGTATGACTATAGGACTACTGCTTATTCATCTTCTTCCCAGTGGGCATTTGAGCTGTTTCCAGGCTATTTTGAAGAAGACTCCTAGGAGCACTCCTGTCCGTGCCTTTTGTGAACATATGCACTGGCTGGATGGCATCACCAACTTGATGGACATGAGTCTCAGCAAGCTCCAGGAGTTGATGATGAACAGGGAGGCCTGGCATGCTGCAGTTCATGGGGTCGCAAAGAGTTGGACACGACTGAGTGACTGAACTGAGCTGGGCTGCTGCTCATTTCCGTTGGGCAGATATCTAGGGATAGTCGTGATGACTTTGTGATGGAAGGGCGTGGCTGAACACTACCTCCATTGGGGAAGGATGTTGGCTCCTGCAAAATACCCACAGCATCAGGGACAGAGGCAGCAAAAACAGACATGAGTTTCAGGGATTCAGTCTGTCCTTGTGTCATAAGAGAATCGTAAGATCCTCTTATCAGTGCCAGCCTGGTTTTTGTTTATAATTTTATTTCTCTGTTTGGCTGTGCTGGGTCTTTTGTTGCTACGAGAGCTCTTTCTCTAGTCGAGGTGATCAGGGGCTACTCTTTAGTTGCTGCACACGGGTTTCTCATTGAAGCAGCTTGTCTTGTTTCGGAGCACAGTCTCCAGAGCGACAGGGCTCAGAAGTTGCGGCTCCCAGGCCCTAGAGCCCAAGCTCAGTACTTGGGGCACGTGGGCTTAGTTGTCCTGCAGCATGTGATATCTTCCCGGATTGGGGATTGAACCCTTATCTCCTGCATTGGTAAGCGGAAGACTTCCCTGTAACTCAAACGGTAAAAAATCTGCCTGTGATGCAGGAGACCAGGGTTCCATCCCTGGGTTGGAAAGTTCCTCTGGAGAAGGGAAGGGCAACCCACTCCAGTATTCTTGCCTGGAGAATTTCATGGACAGAGGAGGCTGGCGGGCTCCAGCCCATGGGGTTGCAAAGAGTCAGACATGACTGAGCGACCAACACTTGGTGGGTGGATTCCTCACCTGAGTCACCAGCAAAGCCCCAGGTCCAGCCTGTTTTTTATCTCCACCACTTTACATCCACCTCCTGCACCCAGCTGTCTTACCTATGGAATTCAAGCTCTGATGTGGGATGCAAAAACTACAGTCTTGCAGGACTGCCTAACCAGCTGCCACACTGGGTAAGTTGAAACCCCCGGGACAAGTCTATGGACACAGGACGTCTGCTTCCCTGATTAGACCTGGCTGACAGTGTGGGTGGGTGTCTGTCTCGATTTGAAGCGGCAGGACAGTTTCCAGAGTGGCTGTGCCTGTTTCCACTTGTGCAGCAGTCTCATCCTTCTACGATCTTTTCACCCTCTCAAACTTTCCCCACCCTGGTAGGTGGGTATCTGCGTTTGTAAAACAAGCTTTCCTTGGGATTCTCATGAAGGATCAAGCATAAGAAACTGGTTTGGGGAAAGACCTTGGCAGCTGAAGGAAGCCAGTTAGATCTGGAATTCTGTCTTCATCACTTACTGACTGTATGATATTGGTTGACTTTTTATCTCTCTGGGCTTCAATTTTTTCATCTATGGGATGAATTATTAATCATTGCTAACAAGTATTGAGTGCTCACAAGATGCCAGACACTATTGCAGCACTGGATATGTATTAACTCGTTCAACTCTCTCAACAAATGAAGAGGTGGGTATCATTATTATTTCCTAACTTAGAGATGGGGAAACTGATGCCAGGATTTAAACCCAGGTGGCCGAGCTTCGTGCTTGGCACCATTTGCTGTCCCTCTGTCGCAAGGCCGTGTGGAGACTAACGACAACGAGGAAGTGAAGGTTCTGCCAAGGACAGTACTGCCGGCACATCGATGATTCTCCAGTGGGTCTCAACGGGAACTGCCTTGCAGTTCTATCAAATATGCAGAATTTAATATAAGCGAACAAGCGAACAAATGAGCCAGCCATGACCATGATACACGCAGCCATAAAGGGAGGATCTTCGTAGAAGCCAGAAAAATGCAGCGCCGTCCAGAGGAAAGGACACCCCCGTGGCCCCCTGCCTCGGACATTCTCATCCCTTGGCAGGTAGGAGTGTCTCGAGGAGTGCGTCAGCCTTCACCTAAGTGTCATCCCATCAGTTCCCTCCACTCTGACTTTGGACTGAACAGAGAACCTTCTGGTATTGATTTCCTTTCCCAAAAGTCTGTCCTTCCTGAAGAGATGGTGCTGACCAGCCAACCTCAGGATTCCCGTCTCCTAGATGGTTTCATTTCTCAGTGTAAATTAATAAATTACATTTCAGGCTTAACAGTCAGTCTCTTCTGAGTTTGTTTAGTTTAGCCCATTCCCCGCTCCTTGCCTCCCCCCGACCCCGTGACAACAGTTAAGTTCTCGAAACGCCAGGAGGGTAATATAAGAAAGATGTCCAGAGAATGGTACGAATATGTACCCTTTGAGAATGTAGACAGAGAGGGGGCTTCTGTGTGTGGGGGGTGGGGGGTGGGGAGGAACTTCAAGGAAGACTTCCTGAAGGAGGAGGACTTTGGCATAGGAAGAGGGATAATGCATAGAGGTTGAAACACAGGCTCTGGAGTCTGCTTGCAAGTCTGTCTCTGTCCCCTTACTGGCTGTATGACTCGGTCAAGTTCCTTTATCTAGGCCTCAGGTTCTTCACCTTTAAAGTGGGCATAACAATAGTGGCCACATTATGGGGTAGCTGTAAGGATGAAATGATTATATATCACACGTGAATAGCTCTTGCACTCAGAATGACTGTCAGGAGTGTCCCATTGTTAACAACCAAAATGATGCTTTCATTGAAGAGAATTCTAAAAGAAGGCAGGTGAAGGCCTGCCATATCCCCAGAGGCAATTTTGTCTCAAAGCGATGAGTTGAGTCTGTGTTTCCTTTAAGACCGGGAGGGCAGAAAGCTCTTTGCAGTACAGAGCTCCTTCCGGGAGCGTGGTCACAGCCTGTCCTGCGGTTTCGCAGCCTGAGAAGAGCTGTCTGTACAATCGACTAGAACCCATCGGCCTTGAGAACTTCCGTGGTTTCTGAGTCACTGTCAGGCCGTTTCAACTTCCAAGCAGAAAGCCCCAGGGCGACTCACGGCCGAGGCCTTTTCTGGCCTCCTCCGTGGGGAGGGGGAGGACTGCATGGGGGGGGGGGGGCGCTGCCGAGCCCGTTCAGCCTCCGCACAGAATCCCAGCATCACCGGGGGTGGGGCTTTCCCCAAGGACAAGATGCTCCCGCTGACCCGGCTAGGTTCTCCAGGGCGGGGCCCGGCCCCCCCGGGCCTCCTGCTTCTCTGCCCCGTGTTCTGTCTGCAGATCCTGGGTTGGGGGGGGCTTTCCTAATCTCCCCACAAACATGATGCTGGTGGGGCCCGGAGGAGAGGCAGAGGAGAACAGGTTAGGGGGGCGCCAGGGTTTCCATGTGCACGAGCTCTCCTGGGCAGTGAAAGCCCCACTCCCGGGTACTTCCTCACCCCCCACCCCTCCAGCACCATGGAAACTGCTCTGGTTCTGACAGCTTATGGAGAACGATGTCGGATTCCTGATCTCCAAAGAAGACTTAGCTCCGGGACCAGGAACCAGGCTGGATCCCTCAAGGGCTTTGGTGTAGCAGAGTTTTATCAAAATGAATAAGGGACAGAGAAAGCTTCTGGCACAGACATCGGAAGGGGGGTGGAGAGTGCCCTCTTGCTGGTCTAAGCAAGGCCTTCTGTATTTTTACCAGAGCCACTTTCTCAACATACATCTCAAATCAACAAGACTAGAATTCACAATAGAAACATCTTACCAGACTCGCTCCCACAGTATACAAGTTTTAAGATCAGGAGATTAGTCACAAGGTTGCGTTAAGGAGAAACATGTCTTCAAGCAAGATACATTGTTAGATACATGGATAAAGATACATTGACTCAGGCAGAGCCTTGTAGAAAAAGCGTTGTCCCTCTCTCCTTGTTGAGAACACCTGACTCCTGTCTCCTCCCTGGGGGGCTCCTCCCAGACTGCTTGTCAGCCCACCTAAGAACGGACCCTGTGCTTCTTCCCACTTCCCTTTGCCTTTCCACAAAACAAAAGTGCTTTCATCGGCCCCAGCTCCTCCCTGTTCTTTTTACCCTGGCGGAGCTGGGCATCTGAAAAATCCTGCTGTTTTCATTTGGGAATCCTGTCTTCCCCCCTGGGTTCATCTCCTCTTTTCAGCAGAATCCACGAGGGTGGGTGCGGGTTGCCGGGTAAGTAAGGCTGGGAGACACAGATCTTTGGGTGAATGGAGAGGCAACGCTCTGCTCTCCTTTCAATCAAGGCTACCTTTCGAAGCGGGTGCCCACCCCCATCCATATTACTAATAATTGAAACCCACCCACCTCATGCCAGCGCATGCTCTGTCCAGCACTTGCGGAAGCCCCGTCCGAGGGGATGGGTGGGATAGAGGATAAGAATGTCTGTCGTGCTTGGAGCAGCAGGGTTTACAGTCCAACCCCGCCACGTTCAGCAGGGGTGATCCCTCGGGACTTGCTTGGCCCCTCTGGGCCTCAGCTGGCCCAGATAATGGATGCTAATTACACCACCGATCCCCACAGGATTGCCCTGAGGTTCAGAGAGAACGAGCTCAGAGCACTTAGAATAATGCCCAACAGATGGTCAGCGCTCAGTGAAGAAGGCTCCTGACGCATGTCGTTCTTTCCCTCAGGGGTGGGGAGGCCTCGGTGTTGACAGCATCTCCCAGCCTGGTCCTTAGCTCTGGAGAGTCAGGAGTCACAGGGCACCCAGAGCCGTCTGTTCCAGCGGAGCCTGTGCAGGAGATGGAGTTACCAGCAGCAGTGGCTTGATGAGCATGGAGCGAGAGCTGAGTGGAGGGCGGTGGGCGGTAGGCCGGGCGCTCCGGAGGCTGAGTGCGGTGGGGCCGTGACTCCCATGTCTATCGTCAGCACCATCTGAGCTGGTTTCAACATCTGTGGGCTCCAGCCTCCACCAGAGTGCCCCCTTCTCCTCCCCACCTCTTTGAGGGGAGGGGTCCTTCCACATTCACTCTAGGATAAAGAGAAAGGTCTTCCCAGTGGGGCAGGGGGGCCTCACCTTCACTCAGCGCTCTGGGCTGCCTGCCCACCCCCGTCAGGCTGCTTTGAACACACGGGGACCCACTCAAGAGTCCAGTGGTGAGACTCCGCCCCTCCCCACCCTTTCAACAGACTTCCCCAACAGACTTCCTTCCGCAGCTCAGAGTTCAGTCCACCCGGCCCCTGCTTTGGACCAGTCCAGTTGGTGCTGTGAGCTGGTCACCCTGGGTCACAGGGCGGTGCAGCTGGGAGCAGCCAGAGCTCAGATCTCAGGGGCGGAGGTTCTGGGGCAGAGCTCAGCCTTTAGACTGTTAGGAGCACTTTGCCATCCTTCTCAAGTATGACTCTCTGATTTCCTCCCCATTTTTCGGGAACTAAATAAGTTTTCTTAACAATGACAGCTGCTATTTATTAATTAGCTAGTGTCCTAACTGGATGATTTCCTTACAGCTTTAATCTACACAGCAACCTGACTCCAACTTTATAGAAAAGGACATGGAAACCCGAGGGGTCAGGAAGAGCAGTAATTGGCCCAATAACAGTGTCTTTTTTTTTTTTTTTTGTCTTTCTTTTTTCATTGCCTCAAGATGATTAGTATTTTTCTCCCCAGTTGAAATGAAACAGAAAATGTGTGCATTTACATTTCGCCTTCTGAAGGAGGGCCTTCAAACCTCATTCACGACCATAGCCAGGAGAATGTTTGATTTGCAGCAAGCCCAGATTATGAACTGACTACAAGTTTCTGTTCTGTTGTTTGGGTTCATTGTGTCAGAAATCAAAGCCCTTTATAGGAATGGTTCACGCTTTATCCACACAAAAATATTTGGAGATGATTGTCTTTTCAAAAAACGTCTTGGCTGCACCCAGAGCATGTGGGAACTTAGTTCTCTGACCGGGGACTCAGCCCGTGTGCCCTGCGCGGGAAGGTGGGGTCTCAACCACGGGACCACGTAACTATCTGGAAAGGAGTGAGGGGCAGGAAAGAGCAGGTGGATGCTGTCCCAAGGGTGCCCTTAGGGTGTGGGTGGGCGTTGGTCCTGGCAGAGAGTATTCGGGGGAGGAGAGAGGTCGGCGCAGACGTGGGGCTGACTGGGAGCTGACGCTGCTGAGGGCCATTCACGGCTCCTGTCGGGGGTGCGGGGGTGGGGGCTGGTGAAACTCATTCCCATCACCTTGTTTGGCAAACCGTTCCTCCTTGACCTAAATAAACATACCCGCCTCCCCACCCCTTTGTCTTAACATCCATTGGGTGGAACCCAAGTATCCAGACATGCTCATAATGGGAAGGAAAAGTCCCCTCAGCACCAGTACTTGGGTGGGAAGCAAGAGACCCAGTGCTCACCCCCAGGGCAATAAGTTCCCACGGCTGGTATCCGCAGAGCCCAGACTGGCCTTCACTGGCTGGTCAACTGGCTCTTGCGGGTGGGGCAGGGGGGGGTCTGATCAGGTGAAAATGAAGTCGCTCAGTCATGTCCGACTCTTTGTGACCTCATGGTCTGCAGCCCACCAAGCTCCTCCATCCATGGGATTCTCCAGTCAAGAAGACTGGAGTGGGTGGCCATTTCCTTCTCCAGGGGATCTTCCTGACCCAGGGATTGAACCCAGGTCTTCCTCATTGTAGGCAGACGCTGCACTGTCTGAACCACCAGGGGAGTCCTTGAACAGGTGAGCAGTGTCATCAAATGGGAACCACGGACATTCACTCTTGCAGCAGAAGGGTGACGCTTTGGAAGCAGGTAGCGTCCGGGTCAGAGACGATGAGTGTCTGACGCGGGCAGTGGCCGAGGATGCAGAGGAGCGATATTAAGGGGTACATCGACAGGACCTGATTGATTGATGCGGGCTGACATCCAGAGGCCGTACTTAGGCAGCCACTCCAGCCTCAAGCGTTCCACCGCCTTGCTCAAGCTGGTTCCTGAATGCTCTAGCTCTGCCCTGAATGCTCTAGCTCTGCCCCGGCTCCAAGCCAGCCTCTGCCTGCAAGATCATCCCCTCCGTGCAGAAATCCTGGGCCCCTCTGTCTGGCTCCCCAGCTAGAGTGTGAGCTCCTGGAGGGAAGGTGGTGAATCTCTTGTCTCTGAATCTTAGCACTGGGCACAAACCCTAGAGCACCCCTCCCACCCCACCCCTGCCCCGGACGTTTGTGGATCCATTAAAAAAAGATGCAGGGTGAAGGGGAAGGAAGTGAGGAGGGAAGGAAGGAAGACCTCTGCGCTCACCATCGGATCTTACTGTAAGCACCCTGCTCTCTGATGTTACAGGCTAATCCTCACCGGAGTCAGGCTCAAGGTTCATCTCAGGGGCATCTGCCTCTGCTGACTTCTGGAACTGGAACCACATAAAACGGGAATGGGTCAAAGAATACCCTATTATTCGGTCCCAATGGGGTCAGCAAGATGGTCATGTGGCCAGAGGGGTGCCTTCTGCAGACAGAGCTGTGGGTTTGGGGGGGCTCACTGAGAGCAGAGGGCACTGGGCAAACGGACAGAGCCCTGACGGCCTGTCCTCTCCCAGCTCCGGGCCTGGATTTACATCCTAAAATCTCTCCCTGTCTCTGCACTGACCCCGTGTTCCCTCCCTCGCTGCTTCCACACTCACTGACCCCTCAGGTCCTCCGGAGACCCACACGCATGCCAGAACAGGGGGAAGGGCTTGAATTAATTTCCGTGTCTTTGCATCTTGCCGTCAAATGGAAAATCTTGCCTCTTAGGTCCTGGTTATCCTGAGCTGCTATATTTTCTTTCTTTGCTTTCCGCCCGTCGATTATTATTTTTTTTTTAGAAAAGACTTGTTTTCTTCAGTGTCCCACTGTGGTGGTGGTGTCCCGTCGCAAAGTCGTGTCCAACTCTTTGCAACCACGGACTGCATGTGCCAGGCCTCCCTGTTCCCCGCTGTCTCCGGGGGGGGAGGTTGCTCGAACTCAAGTCCACTGAGTCAGTGAGGCGAGGCGACCGACACCCCACGTGCCAGTGTGAACCTGGGAGTGTTAAGAGTGATGAGACAAGGCAAGTTCCTTTGAAGTCCCCTCCCAAGGCTGCTTCTGCGGGCCTGCAGACCCCTGTCCTATGGTGGACAATCCGGCTACCGCCTGGCTCCATCTTACAGGTGGGGCTTCCAAAGGGCTGGCTTGCAGGTGTGCTAAGCTGCTTCAGTCAAGTCTGACTCTTTGTGACCCGTGGACTGGAGCCTGCCAGGCTCCTCTGTCCATGGGATTCTCCAGGCAAGGATACTGGAGTGGGCTGCCTTACCCTCCTCCAGGGGATCTTCCTGCCTTAAGGATAGAACCAGCGTCTCTTCTGCCTCCTTCATTGACGGCGGGATTAGGACCACCTGGGAATCCCCAAAGGGCTGCCTCGGGCTCTGGAGCTCACGTAACTCGCGAGCACCTGGGTTCACGATCAGAGCCACACTGCCCCGTGCCTGGCTGGCTACGCTTTATCCTTGGTGTTTTGGCAGTGACCCGAAAACAGTCCCTGCTTCTGACTTTCCACTGTCCTCCTAATCTCTTAATTTTTCCTCATTAAAAGCAAGGGTGGGCTTGGAATAGCTTGGGTCCCTGAGCCCCAGGAGGAGCCCAGGAGACTGGGCGTGGGGGTTTGTACAGTACCTTGAATATGCAAGAAGCTGTCTCCCCCAATCCAGCTTTCTCCACGGGGAACAGGAACCAGTCACCGCCAAAGCCAACAGCTTACTTGCTCTGGGCAGGCATGGGAGCAGGGCAGCTGGGTGAGCCAGCTCTCTCCTGCTGATCACAAGCTCTGGCGGGCAATTCTATACATCTTTGATTAATAAAAAATGGAGCAGTGAATGAATACTTAATCAGCAAGGTCTGGTGGGTTGACTCTTTCAGAACCTGGGCTAGGGGCGAGGCAGGAAGTAATCAAAGGGGTCCTGGGTACCACTCCAGGCGGTGGTCTCTGGAAAGGTGCTGCCCACTGAAAATTAAAAAAAAAACAACACAAACTGAAAGTTGCAAGTTATGTTTCATTCAGGGATCTTTCTGAGGAGACAGCCTGGGACACAGCCTCTCAGAGAGCTCCGAGGAAGTGTTCCAAGGAGCGAACAGAAGAGCCAAGATATCTAGGAGATTTTCCTGGAGAAAAACAACACACACACAAACACCTGCCCTCCCCACCTTCCAAAAAGAAAACCCACTCCATATTGTCGCACACGCAAAGATAACTGCCAGTCACAAAAGCAAACAAGCAGGGGACCAATCTAGGATCTCCACTTCTTGCAGTTATTCCTAGATAAGATGCTAACTGTCTAGGGCCAGTATCCTGCTTTCCTCCATTCTGAATCCCCTCTGAGAGCACCATCTGGTTGGCTGCAGGTGCTGGAAGGAAATGACAACCCACTCCAGCATTCTTGCCTGGAGAATCTACAGTCCAATAGATTGGGAAGGGGAAAGGGGTGCCTTAGTGGGCTATAGTCCATAGGGTGGAAAAGAATCGGACATGACTGAGCACATTAGACAGCATATTAATAAAAGCAGAGACATTACTTTGCGAACAAAGGTCTGTCTAGTCAGTCAGTTCAGTCGCTCAGTCGTGTCCAACTCTTTGTGACCCCATGGACTGCAGCACGCCAGGCCTCCCTGTCCATCACCAACTCCCGGCGTTTACTCAAACTCATGTTCATTGAGTCTGTGATGCCATCCAACCATCTCATCCTCTGTCGTCCCCTTCTCCTCCAGCCTTCAATCTTTCCCAGCATCAGGGTCTTTTCCAGTGAGTCAATACTTTGAATCAGGTGTCCAAAGTATTGGAGTTTCAACTGCAGCATCAGTCCTTCCACTGAATATTGAGGACTGATTTCCTTTAGGATGGACTAGTTGAATCTCCTTGCAGTGCAAGGGACTCTCAAGAGTCTTCTCTAACACCACAGTTCAAAAGCATCAATTCTTTGGTGCTCAGCCTTCTTTATAGTGCAACTCTCACATCCAAACAAGACTTGTGGAAAAACCATAGCCTTAACTAGACAGCCCTTTGTTGGCAAAGTAATGTCTCTGCTTTTTAATATGCTGTCTAGGTTGGTCATAACTTTTCTTCGAAGGCGCAAGCATCTTTTATTTATTTATTTATTTTTTGCATCTTTTAATTTCATGGCTGCAGTCACCATCTGCAGTGATTTTGGAGCCTAAGAAAATCAAGCCTCTCACTGTTTCCACTGTTTCCCCATCTATTTGGAATGAAGTAATTGGACCAGATGCCATGATCTTAGTTTTCTGAAGTAAAAAATGTTGAGCTTTAAGCCAACTTTTTCACTCTCTTCTTTCACTTTCATCAAGAGGCTCTTTAGTTCCTCTTCACTCTCTGCCATAAGGGTGGTGTCATCTGCATATCTGAGGTTATTGATATTTCTCCTGGCAATCTTGATTCCAGCTTGTGCTTCCTCCAGCCCAGCATTTCTCATGATGTCCTCTGCATATAAGCTAAATAAGCAGGGTGACAATATACAGCCTTGACATACTCCTTTCCCGATTTGGAACCAGTCTGTTGTTCCATGTCCAGTTCTAACTGCTGCTTCCTGACCCTCATACAGATTTCTCAAGAGGCAGGTCAGGTGGTCTGGTATTCCCATCTCTTGAAGAATTTTCCACAGTTTGTTGTGATCCACACAGTTAAAGGCTTTGGCGTAGTCAATAAAGCAGAAGTAGATGTTTTTTCTGGAACTCTCTTGGATTTTCAATGAATATTGGATGGATTCAATGAATATTTGATAAATAGTGGATGTTGGCAATTTGATCGCTGGTTCCTCTGCCTTTTCTAAATCCAGCTTGAACTTCTGTAAGTTCACAGTTCATGTACTATTGAAGCATGGCTTAGAGAATTTTGAGCATTACTTTACTAAAGTGTGAGATGAGTGCAATTGTGTGGTAGTTTGAGCATTCTTTGGCATTGCCTCTCTTTGGGATTGGAATGAAAACTGAGCTTTTTCAGTCCAATGGCCACTGCTGAGTCTTCCAAATTTGCTGGCATATTGAGTGCAGCACTTTCACAGCATCATCTTTTAGGATTTGAAAAAGCTCAAGTGGAATTCCATCATCTCCACTAGCTTGTTCATAGTGATGCTTCCTAAGGCCCACTTGAGTTCAAATCCCAGAATGTCTGGCTCTAGGTAAGTGATCATACCATCGTGATTATCTGGGTCATGAAGATCTTTTCTGTATAGTTCTTCTGTGTATTCTTGCCACTTCTTCTTAATATCTTCTGCTTCTGCTATCTTTCCGTCTAGTCAAGGCTATGGTTTTTCCAGTCATATATGGATGTGAGAGTTGGACTATAAAGAAAGCTGAGCACCAAAGAATTATGCTAATGAAAATTAGTCCTGAATATTCATTGGAAGGACTGATGCTGAAACTCTAATACTTTGGCCACCTGATGCAAAGAACTGACTCCTTGGAAAAGACCGTGATGCTGGGAAAGATTGAAGGCAGGAGGAGAAGGGGACGACGGAGGATGAGATGGTTGGATGGCATCACGGAATGGATGGACGAGTTTGAGCAAGGTCCGGGAGTTGGTGACGGACAGGGAGGCCTGGCGTGCCGCGGTCCACGGGGTCGCAAAGAGTCGGAGGAGACTGAGCGACCGAGCTGAGCAGGCAGGCACGCCCTGCAATGGGAGGCAACAGTTCCTGAAATAACTGACACACCAGGCTTTTTTTTTTTTTTTTGGTCTGTACTTTCTGGTTCTTGTTTTTGGTTCTCTGACTCCGCTGGAATTTGCTGACGGCGGGAGGAGCGTAAACTCAGGAGAAAAGGATTGAGCTTTGATCCTCAAAATGCGAAGAATTGTGACCCGTGCCGGCCCACGTGGTCCAGGTTGGGCTCAAGGAAGCAGTTGTGTGTGTCCCCGTCCGTCTGTCTGTGTGCTCTGAGTTTTGTGATTTTTTTCCGTGGGGCGGGGGCGGCGGTGCTGCCCGTGCGCGCAACAGCATTAAAACTATGTCGGTCATGGCAGCTGGGAGCGGGGACGAGGATCCGAAAGGAAAACACACCGCCGGGGTCAGACGCGGGCAAGAAGGGAAGGCCCCCGGGCGTGGTCAAACGCCGCGAGACTGCGAGGGCCGGGCAGAAGCAAGTCCTGGAGAGCGCGGGGCCGGCGGCTGCTCGGCCCGCCGCCCCGCCCCGGGTTTCCGCGCGCGCGCCGAGAGCTGGAGACGGGCGGGGAGGGGCGGTGCGACTGCAAATCGGGAAGGGCGCGCGGCGGGCCGCCTGGGGAGCTCAGCGAACCGGCAGGCCGGTAGGGCGCGGGGCCAGGGGCCAGGGGCACGGGGTCACTAGGACGCGGGGCTGGCGCCGGGGGCGCGGGGACGCGGGGCCGGAGCCGGAGGCGCGGGGCCGGTGGGGCGGCTCGATCCGGCGCTGCGCAAACGTCTGGGCGCCCCTGTCCGCCGGGCGGCTGACCACGTGCCAGGGGCCGCGGGCCGCGGGCAGCGAGATAGGGGTGGGGAGCGGCTCCCGGGTGCTTTCCCGGCGGATGGTGATGGGAAGAGGGGCGGGGGTTTGGGGTGGAGGTATTGAGGGTCCCAGCCTTGGATCGCGGGGGATCTGGGAGGGACGGGGCTTGGGGGGATGATTTTGCCATTTGCCTTGGCGGCGGCGTGACTCATCAGCCCACGTGACCTGGGGAAGCTGACAAAATTCCCTGCTTCTGTCAGTGAACTGGAATTAGGAAGACACCCGCTTACCGGCAGGCTCAGTGAGGACTGGTGCCGGGCCCCCAGCCTCTGTGCCTGGCCCAGAACTGCTTCTGTTCCTGAGCGGCTGCGGCTCTGAAACTGGGGCTCAGCTCCAGCCTCCCCAGCTGTTGCCAGCTGTGTGATGGAGGAGCTTTTGTAAGTGGCTCTGACAGTTGGCCTCTGGTCTGCCCTACCTTGCCCAACAGTGCCCTGTAGACCAAGCAGCCTCCGCCTGATTTCACAGGAGCCAGAGAAGCCCAGCGGATGACTGTTGCTCAAGCCTGAAACAGCCAGAAAGCAGAGAGCCACCGGGACCCTAGGAGTTTTCCAAGGGCCCAGACGCCAGGTGGGGTCAGCCCGGGGCAGCCCGGGGCCAGCGGTGGGATCGCGGCGTCGGCTGCCCCTGGCGCCATGCAGGGCCGCAGCCTGCCCTTCCGTGTGGCCACCCTGGTGACAGGCCTCCTGGAGTGCCTCGGCTTCGCGGGCGTCCTCTTTGGCTGGACGTCCCTGGTGTTCGTCTTCAAAGAGCAGCGTTACTTTGAGGAGCTGTGTGAACCGGATGCTGGGCCGCTGGGCAATGCCACCGGGCTGGATGGTAAGGGAGCAGGACCTTCTCTGAGTCTGGACTCAGACTCCAGCCCCGCCCCCCCCTCCCGCCAGGCTTTTTGAGGTGAGAAAAAGGGGGCATCAGCCTCCCCCACCCTCAACCTGGATCTACGAGCTGCCTGGGGAGGGAGGTGCCCGCTCCCAAGGCGTGATTAGCGGCTGTCACGGCTCAGCTCGTCCGAGGGGTAACTTCCCCGCACCCCCGGCAGGCTGTCCGAGATGGAAGAGGCTGCCCTGGACTGAGGCCAGGCCGGGTGCATGCCTGGCAGGAAGGCTGGGATGGGTGGGGGGTTGGCCCGTCCACCCTGGACTCCTGAGATGTGCCCGTCTTTCCTCCAGACTGCAGGGCCCGGGACGAGCAGTTCTCACTCATCTTCACCCTGGCCTCCTTCATGAACAACTTCATGACCTTCCCCATAGGCTACATCTTTGACCGTTTCCAGACCACCGTGGCCCGCCTCATTGCCATGTAGGTCCCAGGGGCCCCGGGGCAGGGCCGGGCAAGAGGACTTTGGGTAGCAGCATTCTATGCAGGGAGCCCTGGGCCAGGCAGCTGGGCACCCTTGCTCCAGCAGCGCTCTAGGAACATGCCCGGGTGTGGGCACCCTGTCTTGACCTTCCCTGTTCCCTGAGCCCCTGCTTCCCTTTCCTCCCCTCCTTCCTCTGTTGCATGTGAAACTGGGCCATTGGTCGTGCTGAAATGGGCAGGCGGCCAGACCTGCTTCCCGTAGCGGAGGCTGGCCTGGGGCAGGGCTTGTGAAATCAGCAAAGCCTAGAACTGCCGCTCACACCCGTAAGACTCGGAGCTCCCACTGCAGGGGCACAGGTTCGGTCCCTGGGCGGGGAACCCCAGATCCCGCACGCCGAGTGGCGTGGCCACAGAGAAAAAGGGAACTGTCTCTCTCTGCCTTGGTGCAGGGGACCCCGTGTCTTCATCACACGCAAGTGGCTCCTCACTACCCACTTCCTGGCCTCCCCCACCACCCCGTCACTTCCCAGAAGTTACGCAGCACGGCGCCCCGGGGTGTCTTTGGCGGCGGGGACTCCAGGTTCCCTCCAACGGGGGTGCCCAGGCCGAGTAGTCGAGGAGGCGGAGGAAGGCCGCGCTGGCTCACAGGGGTGCCGCTGAGCTGGCAGGCTTCTGTGATAAGCGGCGGCCTGTGGGACGTGATTAGGACACAGCGCGGGTGTCTCCCCGTTCAGCCGTCGGAGACGCTGAAGGGCGCCGGGCCAGGCTGTAGCCGACGGTGCGGCAGGTCCTTGGCTCTCTGGGCCCTTGGCGACTGTCTCCGCCGTTCCTGGACTTGTCCCGTCTCCTCTTTCTTGTCCTGCCGTTGTCCTTTCCCTCTTCTCCAGCCTTGAGTGTGTGAAGCAAAACCCAGTCTTCCCACCTGTGTTTTCTCCTCCACTTTTACACAGAACATGTCACTTCTGAGATACTTCTGGTCAACAGATGTGTCAGAAGTGAAGTGGCAAGCCACTCTCTGGCATCGGCTGGGTGTCTTAGGTGTGTGTGCCGAGTGCTCAGTCGTGTCCGACTCACTGTGACCCCCGTGGACTTTAGCCCGCCAGGCTCCTCCATCCAGGCAAGGATACTGGAGCAGGTTGCCGTGCCCTCCTCCAGGGGATCTTCCCGAGCCAGGGATCAAACCCACGTCTCTTCTGTCTCCTGCATTGCAGGTGGATTCTTTACCCGCTGAGCCACCAGGAAGCCCTCGGGGGTCTTATGACTTAACTCAGTCCTGACAGTCTCTCTGGAGGCGCTGCAGCAGACCCCACAGGTCAAGGGCTCGGTCCCACCAGACCGCCCCCACCCCCCTAAGATGCCAGTTGCAATGGTAGGCCCCCAGGTTCCCCACAACATCTGTCTGAGTCAGCTGCAACTCTTGAGATGCCCCTGACCTCCTCCTTGGAGTCAGTTCTCTGTTAAAGGGCTTGCTGAACGCAGGGAGACACCTTGACCAGTTCCTGAAAGGGTAGGATGAAGGATACAGATGAACAGCCACATGAAGAGACACAGGGCCAGGTGGGCAGTGGTTCCGAGCCCAGGAACTCCTGCATCTTGTGGTCTTGGGGTGCAGCGTCCTGTTCTATGGAGGTGTTTGCCAACCTGGGAGCTCTGCAAACTCCTCCATTTCCAGCCCTCTCCCCTCTCTGTAGAGAAGTGGACACAGGGGTGGAAATTCCAAGCATCTCATTGTGGCTTTTCCAGAGCCCATCCACAGTTATCTCATCAGAACAGGAGAACAAAAGATGCTCATAGTGTCTTCTATGCAGGAGCTTACAAGACTATTAGAAGCCCTGTGTCAAGACCCGGGGACAAGGACCAAATATGTAGTTCTTGTCGTAAATCAGAACTTCACGCATAAGCCCTGTTTTTATTACCCCCTGCCTAACAAGACCCCCAAACACGTCTAAGAGGCCCCAGTAACCTTGGGATCTTGGTCGTGAAATCTATAGCATTCTAGAACTTTAAGCTTGGGGTCTAGATTAGTCCAGTCATTTCTTTGATAGAAAAAAGCTTCTAAGAGAGTGCAGTGCTTTGCCCAAGGTCACACAGCAAGAGGTGTTTGAACTCCAGGTTTTGTAGACCAGGCACAGACGTCTTTAAGGGCTTGGCTGGTTGGGACTTCTAGGCTGGAGGACCTTGGATCCACCCTCCAGGCTTCTCTGTCTTTTAAAGAATGTTTGTTTGGATGCGTTGGGCCTTAGTTGCAGCCTGTGGGGTCTAGTTCCCTGACCAGGAGTTGAACCCGGGCCCCTGCGTTGGGAGGTCTGAATCCAAGTCACTGGGTCACAAGGGGAGCCCCCCAGGTTTCTCTCTTCATGACGACATTCTCTGTCTCCCCTTCTCTGTTCCAGATTTCTCTACACCAGCGCCACGCTCACCATAGCCTTCACCTCTGCAGGTGAGTGCTGTCGGGAGGGTCGTGACCTCAGGCACCTGCTGGACAGGGCAGGGGCAGAAGGGGCCTGGGGGGACACTGACCCCACAAATACCCAGATCCACAGACTCTGAGCTGGAAAGGGCCCTTGAAGGAGTTTTTGCTGGTCTCTAAAAATAGCTTAGTGAGAAATGTGAAAAATAAGGACAGGGGAGAAATTGCTTCAGAGAGAAAGAATTGATTCAAAAGATTGTATCCTTCTGTTATGTCTGAGAATGTCCTCTCTTTTTAAAAAATGAAATAATAGGGAATTCCCTGGCAGTCCAGTGTGCTTTTCTGCTTGGATTTGTGATCCTTGGTCGGAGGACGAAGCTTTCACAAGCTGTGCAGCATGGCCAAAATAAGCAGAAAGAAAAGAAATGAAAACATAAACGGTTATCGTTGAAAATATCCTGACTTAGCAGGGTGCAAACCGACAACTCTACGGTAGCCAAAAAAGTTTCCTCTTCAAATTTTACTGGTCTGGGTGCTGTGCTGTGCTTAGTCGCTGATTCGTGTCTGACTCTTTGCGACCCCGCAGACTTGAGCCGGCCAGGCTCCTCTGTCCGTGGGGATTCTCCAGGCAAGAACACTGGAGTGGGTAGCCTTTCCCTTCCTCCAGGGGATCTTCCCAACACAGTGGCCAAACCCAGGTCTTCCACATTGCAGGCAGATTCTTTACCGTCTGAGCCACCGTTCAATGCCCAGTCTGGTTTATTCCCCACTTTCGTCATGGGGAATAAAGTGGGGAATGTGAAGAGGAGAAAGCCGAGGTCAGAGACCCCCTTGCAAAGACTCAGCAAGGGCCACAGCGCAGGTTAGTGGGAAGTGGGGCTGGGGCCCCGGCTGCGCTCTTTGCTTGCGGCGTCTCATCATAGAGGTCGACAGCTGCCTTCCGGTCTTCTCCCCGGAGTCAGGTCGCGGGCTCAGGTTTGGGCTTAGGAGGTAAGAGCAGCTGGCTCTGCTGTGAGTGGCACCGGCCCGACGCTGGTGGTCTCCGTTGGTGTTCCGTGAACACGGCTGACGGACGGTTCCGTCTGAGCAGACCTCGGGAGGCAGCCTGGATCCTCAAGCCAGTTATTTAAAACCCACTCTGCTCATCAGCTCAGCTTCGTCCCTGAAAGCCTGAACGTGACTTTCAGGTGGCCGAGTGTGGACATAATGGCTGGCTACGGAATCACTGGAGCCACAATTTGCCCTTCCCCCAGAAAATGGGGCTTTTTGGTTTCGGAAAAAGTGTCGAGACCACAGTGATGCTATTTTTGAAAGGAATCTCAGCCAACCTTCAGGGCATTTGGGGAGGCACCTTTTCTAGAGACAGAAATTGAATGGTAAGGAGTGTGCATGCTCTGAAATGAGCGAGTTTACAGTGTATCTCGAGGAAGGGAACAGTAGTTACTAGAATAGTAGTTACTTTGGAGAATATTATTAGGAAGCACACATATGCTTTGTTAAGGTTGAATCACCTGGTGGGAATGTTACTGTGCTTTTATTTCTCATTCAGGACTCAGATTTCACTTGGGAAATCGCATAGGGCTGGGGTAATTTTAACACTGGCAAGAGCAGAAATCAGGCTTTGAACTTTCCAAGTGCAACTGCATTCGGTTACAATTTATTAACACTGTTTTCATTGTACTTATTTTTATAGTTAGGGCTTCCCTAGTAGCTCAGACTGTAAGCATCTCCCTGCAATGCAGGAGACCTGGGTTTGATCCCTGGGTCAGGAAGATCCCCTGGAGAAGAAAATGCCAATCCACTCCAGTGTTCTTGCCTGGAGAATCGCAGGAACGGAGGAGCTTGGCGGGCTACATACAGTCCGTGGGGCTGCAAAGAGTTGGACGCGACTGAGCACCAACTCCAGTCCGTGGTGCTTAGTTGTTCTTAGTCTGGTCTTCTTGTCCAACATTTGGCAGAGCGATTGGAATGATTTTTTTTTTTTTTTGCATGTTGGTCTTTTCAAGGGCAAGAAATTCTTTTTCTTTGCCCTGCACTTCTAATGCCAGGCACAACACCTACCACAAAGGAAATGCTCCAAGTCTAATGAACAGAGGGAACGCAGTCACGGGCATTCTTTCCCTCAGATCTCACAGTACCTTAGGAAGGCAGAGGAGCAGGGACTGGTGTTCCCATTTATTAGATGAGATGACAGTCAGATTCAGAATCCAGCTCAGTGCAGTGAGTGGGTGCGTGGGCTCAGCCCAGGCTCCCCTGCCCTGCAGTGTCAAGATGAAAGAGGGATTGTGTGATTTAGTGAAGGAAGCGGGCAGCGGGTCGAGTCCTGCCTCTCTCTGTAGACATCCAGGCTGCCATCGACCAAGGGTCATCTTTGATGGGGAGGAGGGTCCCTTTGCAGGAGCACGTGAGGGAGCCTTGACAGTCCCCTGAGACCCTTGGAGGGTGCTGTGGAATCGGGGCCCTGAGCACAGACTTGTAGGGAGCGGGGGGTGCCCCAGAGCGCAGGGCTCCGTGTTCGGGTCGCCGGGTGGCGTCACCCCGCCTCCGTCTCGGATCCTTGCAGACTCAGCTGTGTTGCTCTTCCTGGCCATGCCCATGCTCGCCGTGGGAGGCATCCTGTTCCTGATCACCAACCTGCAGGTGTGAGGCGGCCGAGGGCACGGGCGGGACCTTGGGGCAGGCGGGACCTTGGGTGGGCGGGGGGAGGCACAAGCCCCCCACTGCTTTGGCAGCCTCTGATGGGGGGGCCCCAGCTGGAGTGGCAGCTCCTGGGGCGGAGGAGGGTCTGCGTACGAGGGCCTGATGCTTATTGGGTGTACGGGATGTGTTTCACGGGCGAGTAAGTGACTCGGGCTGGTCCTGTGTTCTCCAGATCGGGAACCTGTTTGGCAAACACCGCTCGACCATCATCACCATGTACAACGGAGCGTTTGACTCCTCCTCGGCGGTCTTCCTCATCATCAAGGTAGAGGGTGGCAGTAGCCCGTGTTTATCACTCCTGCTGCTGGCCGGGCTTTGGGGTGGGCGTCAGGCATCCATAATCAGCTTCCAGCGTAGAAGGCGAGAGCCTGGACCGAGACTCGTTTTTAGAAATGAGTTTCAGCCCTGGATTCTTACCTGGGCTTTTTGTATGATAAAATGCACAGGTTATGACAACATAAACTTCACCACCTTCACCGTGTCTAAGTGTGCAGTTCAGTAGCATTGAGTTCATTCATGTTGTTGTACGACCATCGCCAGCACCCATCTCTGGGACTCTTCTCAACCCTGTGAAGCTGAAACTGCCCATTAGGCAGTAACTCCCCACCCCCCCTCTGCCTGCCCCTAGACCCTGACCACCACCGTTATAATTTCTACTTCTGTGATCTTGGCTGCTGCAGGTACCTCCTAAGTAGAATCACATACTATTTTTGTCTTTCTGTGACTGTGTTATTTCGTTTAGCATCATATCCTCAAAGCTCAAAGTTTGTCAGGACTTCCTTCCTTTCAAGACTGACTGCTGTTCTGCTCTGTGTGGGCGCCACAGCCGCTTGTCCATGCACCCATGAAGGGGCGTTGGTTTATGCCCACCTTTCGGACGTCGTGAGAAACACTGGTGTGAACGTGACTGTTGCGCTGACCTGTCCCCTCTTTTCTGCAGCTCCTTTATGAACAAGGCATCGCCATCAAAGCCTCCTTCGTCTTCATCTCTGTCTGCAGTGTCTGGCACGTTGGGCGCACTCTCCTCCTGATGCCCCGGGGGCACATCCCCTACCCACTGCCCCCCGACTACCGCTACGGGTAAGGACTGTGAGCTGGGGAAGGTGTGGCCAGAGCCCCTCCTCTGACCTGGCGTGGGAAGAGGGTTTGGGATAGACATGGTTACAGTAGGGCAGAGGAAACCAATCTCTGGAGAAGAGGACTAGACCACGGATGTATCGGTTAGCTACTGCTGCGTAACGAACGATCCCAAAACTTAGGAATGTTCAGGTGTTTATTATCTCACCAAGTCTAGGGGTAGCTGGCTAGTTCTACTGATCAGAGAGCTACTTGAATGCTCTTGACAGAACTTCTCCTGCCTGTGATAGTCTGGAGGGCTAGCCAGGGGGCCGGCTGACCTAGGATGGCCTTACTCACATGGGATTTTTCTGCTTGTCTGGGATGGCGAGGATATCTGGGTCACGTGGCTCGCATCCTCCAGCAGGCTAGCTTGTGCTTCTTCACTTAATGGTTTCAGGGTTCCAAGAGAGTGTGCAGAAACGCTCAAGGTTTCTTCCGGTTTAAGGCTGGAATTGGCACACTGTTTATTTATTTTTTAATAGATTTATGCATTATTGTTTGTTTCTGGCCGTGCTGGGTCTTTGTTGCTGCATGGGCTCTCCTCTGGTTGTGGCGAGCGGGCTTCTCGCTGCCGGGGCTTCTGCTGTTGCGGGGCACAGGGTCTCGGGGGCACAGGGTCTCGGGCGCGCAGGCTTCAGTAACTGCCGCCCCGGAGCTCAGAGCCCCAGGCTCTGCAGCTCACAGGCTGATCGTCCTGGCGCCAGGGCTTAGTTGCTCCGCGGCACGTGGGATCCTCCCGGATCAGGGGTCGAACCTGTGGCTCCTGCATCGCAGGCGGGTTCTCCGCCGCTGAGCCCCCAGGGAGGCCCAGCAGGTCTCTTGTGATGGGTCGTCTTGGTTGAAGCCGCTCATGAGGCCAGCCCAGGTTCAGGGGTTGGGAAAACAGCCGCCAAGTTCGTTTCCAAGGAGTAGAGAGGAGAGCCCGTGCGGTGCGGGCAGCGGCGGCGGGGACATTTGCTGGCGGCTCCTCACTCCCTGGCGGCCGGGCGTGCTCTCTGGCCTCGTCTCACGGTAGTCCTCGGATGCACATCCGCGTCTCCGTCTTCCAGACAAACACAGTGAGGCTCAGAAGAGTTAGGTCTGAGCCACGTTGCCGCAGCCAGGAAGAGGCAGGGCTGGGATTCGAACCCACGCCTGTTCCACCCTTCCCGTGCTTCCCTCGCTCCCATATGTGGCTGCAGGTTAGAATTGCTGGGATTACCTGGAGATGTTTCTAAAAAAGATAGCGGGAGCCTGCCTTCCACGCCCAGACCTTCTGGCTCAGCTGCTCTGGGCCTGGACGCGGGCGCTGGGGCTGTGAAAAGGTGATCCCAGTGTGCAGTGAGAGGGACCATTTCCCTTCCCCGCTCCCGCAGGCGCATCAGGCTCAGCTCCCAGTCCTTGGCTTGGGCTGATAGAGCTTCTGTTTCCACAGTCTCTGCTCCGGGGACAGCTCCCAAGAGGAAGACAAGAAGGCAGCCGAGTCCAAAAAGCTGGAGCTTCAGTCAAAGGAGTTCATTTCCCCAAAGAAAGGTGAAGCCTGCTGGCTAACCCGTTTCCCCCCCACCCAGAACCTGGCCTTCCCCTGCGGCCAGCGTGGTTCTTCACCTCCAGAGCTTTGCCAGGGCCAGAGAAGGTCAGGTGGTGAAAAGACCTGTAGGATCTTCCCGACCCCCTCAGCCTCCAGGGGGTCCAGAGGGGGGCAAACATTCCCGCTTCATCTCTCCTTTCCGTCCCCGGTTCCTTTCCCATCGTACCGCACCCCTGCTCCCCAGAGTTCAGCCTTCCATCACTCGCCTTCCCTTCCTCGCCCACTCCTTGGTGTGCCTTATCTGTCCAGTATCCGCGCGTCCCGTGGGTCAGCGCTTTCTCACTGACCCATCTCCAGTTCGCCTCACTCTGTCCTCTGTCTGTTTCGGGCCTTGGTTATAAACGTCACAGAGCACTGCTGGCTAAGGCAGAAACAAGAATAAGACCCTGGGAAGCTCACCCAATGAAGGGAGGAGTGAGCTTGCTGGGCTGTATGCAGGAGCAGCTGAGGCAGGTGCCCCTGGGGACCCTAGGGTCGGATCCTCACCCGTCTGCCCCTCGAGGAGACTGATCCCATTGGGCAGCCTGGGGCGAGGCTCAGAGCTCACCCGGACCGTGAAGAGCAGGGTGGGGAAGGTTTCCGTGGGAGACTCAGATGCTGGTCTTGAAAGAGGACGGGGGGGCGGTTCGCAGCCGCTGACATCCTCGCTGCCCCCCGCCATCCCGCACTCTCCTCTGACTTTCTCCTCTCCTTGCCTGTCTTCCGCATCCTGCCAAGAATGATCGGGAAGGTTGGTAGTGCAAGAAGCGTCCCAGCCGTGAAGGGTCAGATGGCAGAGCGTGGGAGAGCCGTGCCCGGCGGTTGGGCTGGGATGTTGCGTGGAGGTGGGGGTGTTGCCCTCGGAGAGCCCAGGGAGGCAAGAGCGAGTGAGCTCAGTGCTCGGGTTCTCCCGGTGAGACCTCTGCACCCTGTTCCCCCCCAGTTTAATGGTAACTCTTGCCCGAATCTCCTTCCCCCGCCTTCAGAGGCCCTGGGAGAGCAGCAGGCACCCGGCTCCTTCTGGAGCCACGTCTTCTCTCAGCGCTTTGCCTGGCACGTGGTCTGGCTGTCTGTGATACAGCTGTGGCATTACCTCTTCATCGGCACCCTCAACTCCCTGCTCAACAACTTGGCCAGCAAGGACAGCGCGCTAGGTAGGCGGTGGGGCCGGGAGGCGGCCCCTCTGCACATCACCTCTGGGGACTTGGCACCTCGCGCGGTGGGGCGCTGAGCTCATCAGGGCTCTGTGCTCCGAGGGAGGTCCGAGCCTGGGGTGTGGGCTGGAGTCGGGCAGGGCAGGGGCGGTGGGTGGCCGCCTCTGGAAGGCAGTCCTGAAGAGCTCTCACCGCCCAACCCCTCTCTGCTCTCTGCAGTCAGCACCTACACAAACGCCTTTGCCGTGACTCAGTTCTTCGGAGTGCTGTGTGCTCCCTGGAACGGCCTGCTCATGGACCGGCTCAAACACAAGTACCAGGAGGAGGCGAGAAAAACAGGTGAGCCCCGCTCTCCAGAGGGCCAGGGAGCCAGCCTGGGGGAGGTTTTTGTTTACTTCCACGCCCATCGTCTTTTTTCTTAAATCCTTTTCTACTTGTATCTGTCTATTCATCCATCCATGGCTCATTCATCCATCCATGCATCATCTGTCCTTTTATCCATCCATCACTCATCCATCCATCACCCATCCATCCATCACCCATCCATCCATCATTCATTCATCCATCACCCATCACCCATCCATCCATCACTCATCCTTCCATCATTCATCCATCATCCACTATCTGTCCTTTTATCCACCCATCCAGCCATCACTCATTCATCCTTCCATTCATCATCTGTCCTTTTATCCATTCATCACGCATCCATCCATCCATCCATCCACCCACCATCCATCCATCATCCATTTATCCATCTACCCACTAGTCACTGGGTGCCAATTATGTGCCAACCACAGTTCCAGATTCGATCACAGGCCTGACAGTTACGCCCTTGTTCTCGAGCTGTTCTAGTCTAGAGAGTAGAGAAATGCCAGTAATCAAGGTTTGCGGTCCCTGAAATAAATCTGCAGGGGGCTGTGGCAACACACATCAGGGCAGCGATGCCATGTGTTCCTGGCGGAAGCAGCCTCTAAGCTCCCAATGGAGGAGTGAGAAGTGGCAAGATGAAGGTGAGGGCCTGGGGGAGTGGCCCAGGAATGCAGCGGGTCATTGCTCATGGTGGTGAAAAAGAGTGAAACCTTGAGGAAGCCGAGGGGCCCCAGAAGGTGGTTCTGGCACAGGGGTGTGCGGGGGCAGGGGTCAGAGAGAGGGGAGAAGAAGGGGCAGGCGGCGTCCTGCCAGGGAGCTGGGGCCTGATCCTGGGATGAGAACGCCGCACGGCCTGTGGGGTCTAGGTTCCCCAGCCAGGGGTTTGGACCCTGGCCATGGCAGTGAGCTTGCTGAGTCCTAACCGCTGGACCCCAGGGAGCTGCCAGCACGCCTAGAGTTTCATCTCCCCCCACCCCACCCCGCTTCTCTGAGCTGTTTCTAAAGCAAACCTCAGACATCAGGTCATTTCACCTGTAAGCACTACAGTTTGTAGTGCCAACAAGTAAGGCCTCTTCTGTTTAAGTGAAGCATCACTGGGAGGAATATCATGATGACGCCTGAGACAGCGTCCGATAGTTTCTCAGTGTCATCTGTTCATGAAGTCCTGTTAGAATCTTGCTAATGGTCTCATCTGTGTCTTTTTGTCACCGATTTGTTCACATTCAGATCCATACCCAGGCCACACAGTATAGTAAGTCTCTGTATCCCCCACGTGCTTTTTCCCCTTTGTTCGTTTATTGAAGGAACCGGGTTATTTGTCCTGTCAGGCTTCCCACATTTTGCATTTGGCACCCTCTGCATGTCATTTTAAAGCGTTCCTTTGATTGGGCTCTGTCTGTAATCAGGCAGACTGGGGACTCAGTTTAGTATCTTTTGGCAAGAATAACAAGAGGTGGAGCCGTGGGCTTCCTCCGAGCTCTCATCCGCAGACCCTGGGTACCGGTTGCTGCCTTCTTATGATGTTACGATTGATCCAGGCACTCAGACATTGTCAGCCTGATCTGCCTGTTGTAAAAGTTTGTCATCAGCTGCACGCCTTGCAGCTACTGATGCTCGATGCCTAGACCCATTATTGTATTAGGGTTGCAAAATAGAGAATTTCTACTACTCTTTCCTTCTGCTTTTCATAGCTAAAACTTTCTCTAGAAAGATGAACTTTATTAACTATTTTGTTTACCCTGAAATAAATGCATATTTTTTCCTCTGTTTGAGCTTCCCTGGTGGCTCAAATGGTGAAGAATCCGCCTGAATAATGGAGACCCAGGTTCGATCCCTGGGTCAGGAAGATCCCCTGGAGAAAGGGAATGGCAACCCATGCCAGTGTTCTTGCCTGGAGAATCCCAAGGACAGAGGAGCCTGGCGGGGTACAGTCCATGGGGTCGCAAAAGAGTCAGACATGAATGTGCAGTGCACACTTTTTCCTCTTCTTTACTAGTTTCAGAAAAGTGAGTTGGTATCTAAGCAACTTCCAGGGGTAACCACTCATAGTTTCTCTTTTGAAATCTTATTTTAAGTATGTCTGATATGTTTCAGTCCGTCTCTGACGATCCTTCTTGAGGTTCAGACTCCCTCATCCTTGACCCCTGGGAGTGTGACCAGTCCAGCATCTGTGTCCTTTACAGAAAGTCCCGTTGGTTTTAGAGAGTGCTCGGGTCCCTTTGACTGGGTGTGTTTCCTGACCCAGACCTGAAACCTGCCATCCCTTCAAATAGTCCTGGGTCCCTTTGAATGAGAAACGGTGTTTAAAGACGGCAATCTAGATGCTGGGGTTTCTGATTCTCCTGGGCTCTCATTGGGTTTAGGCCTCAGAGGTAAGACATACATAATTTTTTGGATGAAAAAAAAAAGTCATGAATACCTAATACTGATATTTTAGTTCAAATTTTACTTGATTTTTGCATTTGTACCTCTTCTCTTCTGAAAATCATGGTTCCTAAAATACTATACATATATACTATATATACATATACTGTATGCTATATATATTCACACACACATATATATTCTCTATATAGTTTTTTTTTTAATATACTTTACGGATAATTACTGGTTTAGCAGGATCAGTGCTGAATGCTGGTGTGCCTTCCTTTCCCCAATTCTCATTCTGCAGATATGTCCCCTAGGAGCTGTCAGTCAAAATTATGGTATTTTAAGAGTCAGCAACTTGATATAAAAAGTTGTGTTCGTTGGTTTCATCTCGTTGGATTTTTTTTGGGGGGGATGGCTTTGCTTGTTTTCTTCCTATTACTCTGATTTAATTTTTAAGAACATTTTTGTATCAAGCGTTGACATTGTTCCAAAGCCACGACTAGGAAACGGATCCAGCCACCACGTTTAGTTCCCTCCTTGGTCCCCGGGCCTCCTTTCCTGTCCTCCTTTGTAATTGCTTTGATTTTTTTTTTTTCCCTTAAAGACAGACTCTGTTTGCGTAAACAGTTTCTCCTTCTTAGATGAAAGGCAGCACCCTGCAGTCTTCTGTCCTGGGGCCCACAGTGGGGCCGGGGCCGTCCTTCCGCTGCTGTTGTTGTCTAGTGGCTCAGTCGTGTCTGACTCTCTGAGACCCCGTGGGCTGCAGCCCGCCAGGCCTCCCTGTCCATCACCAACTCCCAGAGTCCACCCAAACCCATGTCCATTGAGTCGGTGATGCCATCCAGCCATCTCATCCTCTGCCGTCCCCTTCTCCTGCCTTCAGTCTTTTCAGATGAGTCAGTTCTTTGAATCAGGTGGCTAAAGTATTGTAGCTTCAGCTTCAACATCAGTCCTTCCAATGAATGTTCAGGACTGATCTCCTTTAGGATGGACTGGTTGGATCTCCTTGCAGTCCAGGGGACTCTCAAGAGCCTCCTCCGGATGTTTAGGAAGTGAGTTATCCGCTTGTGCTGGTGGATTGGAGATGGGGCGTATGGAGAGAAGGGGTCCACGTGCCCCCCTGCCCCGTGGGCGTCCCGTCAGCCTCCTGTCCCCCTTTTGGTCCAGGGGCCCCGGCCAAGGCCGCCGCCCTGCGCGCGGCGGTGCCCTCGCTGGCCCTGACGTCGCTGCTGTGCCTGGGCTTTGCCGTCTGCGCGTCCATGCCGGTGCTCCCGCTGCAGTACGCCACCTTCGTCCTGCAGGTGGTCAGCCGCTCCTTTCTCTACGGCTGCAACGCGGCCTTCCTCACGCTGGCGTAAGTGGGCTTGGTGTGTGCTCCCCGGTGGGGACGCCCCGGGGCAGGGGGAGGTGTGCTGGGGGCAGCGCAGGCAGGGAGGAGCCCCAGACGTGGTGGGGGGTGCACGCTAGAGGCTGTGGGCGGGCAGAGCCTTCACACCCATGGACACCCTTCATGTCTGCTCCCCTCTGCCTCTGTCATCTGCCTGGTGAACTCCTACTCACCCTCCAAAGCCCACTTCTGTTGTAGCTCTCCCAGGGAAGAACAGAAAGAACGCTTTTTCTTTTCTCGTGGCACTCTATTCTCCTTTCTTCTTCTTCTTTTTTTTGGGGGATATTTTCTTGGCCCTGCTGCACTGCTTGTGAGATCTTAGTTCCCTGACTGGGGATCAAATCCACACCCCTTACATTGCAAGTACAGTATCTTAACCCACTAGACCACCAGGGAGGTCATTATTCTTGCTTCTTCTGCTGGTGCATGCATCATTTAGCATATGGTGGCTGTATCTGTGTCTTTGCTGAGACCTCCTCGGGCCCTGCTGTTTTCCCCGGGTTGAGCGCAGGTCCATCTCTGTGGTCCATGGCTTGAAAGCCTGAGCAGAGGTGAAGGGGGGCCCTGTGGCTGTGGGTAAGTGACAGCTGGCGTAGCCTAGGCGGACGGGAGCAGGGGGCTGACCAAGACCCACCAGAGCCCGCCCCTCCGTGGAGCCCGCCAGAACCTCCTCTGCCCCCCCAGGTTCCCCTCAGAGCACTTCGGGAAGCTGTTTGGACTCGTGATGGCCCTGTCAGCTGTTGTGTCTTTGCTGCAGTTCCCCCTGTTCACCCTTATCAAAGGCCCTCTCCAGGATGACCCGTTATACGTGAGTACTGGGGGACGGGGACTTAGACTCAGATCGGGGCGACTGTGTTGGCCTCCAACAGGGGTTGTCCCTTGCCTGGCCAGGGTGGCCTGGGTGTGGTTCCCACGGGAACGTTTCTGCACATGGCTACATCCTGGGTCTTGCTTTTCCAACGGGAGTCCGTGGGAGAACCCAACCATGTGCTGGGGAGCCCCGAAGCCAAAGGGTTAACGTGGATGGCCTCCCAGGTCATCAGGCACTCTGCAGGCCTCAGTTTCTCCACCTGTGAAATGGGCACAGGGTACCTCCTTGCCCTGCCCTACGGGGGCGGAACGAAAAGTCACCCGGAGTCCATCACAGAGGGCACCGTCAGGTCTGAGTGGGACGCAGAGGAGAAACCAGGTGGGATTCTGGTCCCTGCACAGCGGTGGACTTGGCCTCACTGCCCCCTCACCCTCCAGGTGAACTTGATCCTGGTGATGCTGACTCTGCTGACGTTCATGCATCCCTTCCTGGTGGACCGGGAGTGCCAGCGGAAGGAGAAACCCCCTGAGGTCGCCTAGGTCAGAAGGCTCCCCTTTGCAGCCCCGAGGATGCATCACCTTCCTCCCCATCGGAGGACCCTCCAGAAAGAGTTGGCCCACCCAGGCTGCTTGTATTAAGTAGCCGTTATTCTTTCCTTAAGACAAAAAGCCATACTCACTCTGCCTGCCAAGACTTCTCATCCGCAAGACGGGAGCAAAGGCACAGAAAGGCTCTCAGTGTCAGAGGCGGGAACAGCTGGCCCTGGCGGACGCTTGGCTCGAGGCGGGTGATGGGATGGTGAGCTGTGTCTCCTGCTTCTGCGGGTCTCTCTGTCCCTGAAGCCCGGGCCGGCCTGGGCCCTGCGCGCCAGATACACTTCCCGGTGAAGGCTGAGGCTGTCCCGCCACCCAGCGTTCAGCAGTGGCACCCAGCTTGCCCCCAGCGGCCCAGAGGATGAGCCTGGGGGGAGAGAGGCAGGTGGGTTGGGGCGGCAGTCTCTGGGCGGGGGTCCCAGGTCTGCCGCTGATGCCCAGCAGCCTTGAGCAGACCAGCGCGGTTTTCCCCTCTGTGAAAGGAGAGGGGGTTTGGAATCGGCCTTCCCTCTGGCATTCGTGTTACATTGGATTGGCCAAAAAGTTCATTTGAGCTTTTCATAAGATGTTACAGGGGGCGGGAGGTGGGGCGGGGGGAGATAACCGGAACGAACTTTTGGGCCACGTCTCAGTTATTTTATCAGTGTTTGGGGAAACAGTAGAAGGTTTTCAGAACAGTGTCAGCCCAGCCACCCTCAGAGCCTGCTGGGCCCAAGGATCTCTGAGGAAGCCTTTCAGGGAGGTTTTCCTCTTCAAGAAGGCAGACGATTATTTCCTTTGCGTAGGATATAAAAATGTCCTCTGGGGAATGGTTTTTATAACGTATTGAGTTATGTCCTAAATCATTTCATTAAAAGAAATAAAGCCTTTCTGTCTAAGACAACTGCTGCTCTCTGGCTTTGGGGCTGTGGTGATGTGTGTGCGTGCGTGCCTGCGTGTCCCCACCCCAGACCCGGCCCGGGGGCGTCTGACCGCAGCCCCAGGCGTGGGGCAGCAGCCCGCAGACTGGGGTCCGGCCACCTGGTCCCGGGGCCTGGGCCGGGGAGCCCCCAGGAATCCCCCGCTTGCCTCCTCTTGCTCTCCATCCTCCCCCTCCGCCCGCTGCACCACGTGCGCCCCCCAGCCCCCCAGCTGGAACCAGAAGGTCCGACCCAAGTCCCAGTTCCCCTCGGGGCAGCCGGGCAGCCGCTGAGCCTCTGAGCCACGAGGTCCGTAACCGCTGAGCGCGGGGAGTCCTCTCCACAGCGCGGGGAGTCCTCTCCACCCCGCAGGGCGCCTGCGAGAATGGAAGGTGGTTCCCACGGCCTGGCGTGCGTGGGGCACCCTGGAGCACTCGTTTTACTAGGCCGGAGAGGAGGTGAGGGACGGGCTGGGCGAGATGGGAGAAATCTGGAACACGCCCAGGGTTTTACTCTTAGCCGGGAGAGGACTGAGGACCGACTCCTGCCCTCGGTCATTCCGGGGTCTGTTCTAGGCACTGGGGAGTCGAGAGAAGTGCCCGAGGGTCTAAAGCCAGCTCTTTTCTGAGCTGCCGAGGGCTAGTTTTCCGGGCCTGGGCCTGGGTCTGCAAACGACATGATTGCTGATGGATGCTTTCATCCAGTTGTCTTGCTCAAAAGCTTCCAGTGGCTCCCTGTGGCCCGTGGGGCGAAGCCTAGATTCCGGCCTGGCGGTGCAGACGGTCAGCAACGTGATTCCAGCTCCCGCCTCCGCTCCTCGCCTCCCGCCTCCGGGGCGCGGCTCATCCCCGCGGGCCCTGGTATGTGCTCTAGCATCTGTGAGCCCACCCGTTCCTCCTGCTCAGCCCGTCTCTGCCAGGGAACTCTGCTGGGTCCGCTGGGGTCCGGCTTGAAACACCATCTCTTCTGAAAACTTTCCCGCGGCTTTCAGCAGCCCTGAGTTCTCGGGACTTGGTCATACCCTTCTTGGAGACTGGCCCCCGCCTCCTCTCGTGACCCCTTTTCCCATTTGGACAGAAAGGCCCGGGGGGCAGCCTCTGGGTCTCACCCCCGGCTCAGGGACTAGCGCCTCTTGCCAGGTATGTGGTGCCAGTTACTGCCTGTTGGAAGACTGATCACTGTGTGGAGTCTTGTTCTGGCTTCAGCTTTAACGAAGCATAGAACCGGGCACGCGGGGTGTGGTGGGCTGGGCCACAGTGGACTGGGAGCCAAGCCAGCCCTCTTGGCATCCCGGCTCAGTCACCAGTGTGACCTTGGATGGACCACTTCTCTATGTCTCAGTTATTTTATCAGTATTTGGGGAAATAGACCTGCCTTTCTGGACCAGGTTAAAAGTTAGGTCAGGTGCCTAGACCCGGTGTGTACCTAACAGATCAAAGCTAGCATTACAGTTAATGTATTAAATTTTAACAAGGTTGCCTCGTGTCCAGCAACTGGTGAATGAATTAATGAAATGGAATGACCATATGGTGGACTATTGCTTGGTGATACGAAGGAGTGAGGTATTGTTACCTGTGACCACATGTGTGAACCTTGAAAACATGCAAAGTGAGGGAAGAGAGACCGCGAATGTAGTATGACTCATTCAGACACGAAACGTCCGGAACAGGCACATCCTTAGAGGCTTCCCTGGGGGCTCAGCTGGTAAAGAATCCTCCTGCAATGCGGGAGACCTGGGTTTGATCCCTGGGTTGGGAAGATCCCCTAGAGAAGGGAAAGGCTACCCACGTCAGTATTCTGGCCTGGGGGATTCCATGGACTGTACAGTCCATGGGGTCGCAAAGAGCCGGACACAACTGAGAGGCTTTCACAGAAGGGAATTGAGAACTCTTAGGGCTGGGCACGTGAGCTGCTTCTCACCGACTCATCTTCCCCAGAAATCACCCCTGACTCTGGATATAGGTGTTCTCTGCACTTCCTGAGAGACCCAGGCCCCTTATTTTTTTAGTAACAGCTTTATCGGGATAGAATCGTATACCGTGCAATCCACCCATTTAAAGTGCACAGCGCGTTGGTTTCTGGTGTACTCAGTTGTACCACCGTCACCATTGTCAAGTTTAGAGCGTTTTTATCATCCTGGACACCTTCTGACTTCCCTGTCAAACGCGATCACCCGCCCTTCCCAACAAGGAAGCAGGCTCGCCGGGGGTTCACGAGGGCTGGTTCCGCTCAGAAGCAGCTGGGCAGTGCTGCCCTGCTCTCTGCTGCCAGCCTCAGCATTCAGGGGCCGCTGCGGGCGGTGCCAGGCGGGGTCCTCTCTGGGGAGGGGACAGTCCACTCGGAGGAAGAGGAGGGCGCCTGCTGCCCCCAGGACGGGGACAGTGTGAGTCAGGGGCCGTGTGTGACTGTCTGCTTTCACCACCAACTTGCGGATGAGGACAGCGAGGCTCTGACGGCAAGCTTCACCAGGACCATCTGTGCCTGGTGGAGCTGCCGCTGCAGCCCACGTCCCGGGACTCCCTCAGTGCTCCAGTGGCTGAGACTGTTCTCCCAGTGCAGGGGGCCGGGCTGCGACCCCTGACCGGGGAGCGGGGGTCCCACATGCTGCAGCGAAGACCCCCGTGCCGCCACTGAGACCTGGTGCAGCCAAGTAGGTAAAACAGATACTAAAAGAGTAAATAAAACAACCCACATCTGTCTGCCTTCTAAGGTCACATTCCTTTCAGCTGTGACCTTTTTTTATGTTCTTCCTTTTTTTTAATGCTGTAAGTTTATTTGCAAACCTTATCTAGGATGAGTTTGATCCTTTTTTTTAGAGGTTGCACCTCTCCACATGCTCCTCTTCCTATCTGTCTCATGGATTATTTGTTAAGCAGTTGGTGTCTCGCTATCAAGAAAGGTGCTGGAAATCCAGACCCAAAGAACACAGTTGTCACAGCTAGTCACCTCCACATGCTTTCCACTGAACGTGGTATATTCTTCCCCGGACACTCCTTGTGGTGGCTCCTGTGGACCGCAGAGGTTGAGAACCTCCGGCTGCCCTGAGCCCACCCAGCGCTGTTGGAAGTTCTGCAAAAGATGCACAGACTGAAGTGGCTCACACCACGCGTGCCTCGGCCTTTCCTTCCCGCTCTTGGCGTTCGTTCTCACATAAGGAAGGCACAGCTGCAGTAAATCAGGTCAGAGAGGGAAGAGCCGCGTGATAAAGAGCTATCGCCGGTCATTTCAGCACCAGAAGTGCCCGCGGTGAGCACGGGGCCTGAGTGTTCCCCGTGGTGCCGCTGCGTGTGTGATGACGGAAACCGTCTCCCAAGCCCTTCTTCACGGCACCACGCCGCTGTCACAATCCTGACTGTAAACGGCCACCGACACCCCCGTCTGATGGCTGTGGCACAGTGACCTCCAAGCTCCGCCCGCATCTGGGACGTTGCGCCTCTGTCTCTCCTGTCCCCCGGCGCTGCCTGGGCGGGCATCCCAGATGGCGGAGACTCGGGAGGGGGCGGAGGGCAGCAGGTCAGGGCTGTGAACAATAGCAGCCAGAAGAGCCCCCGTGGGAGTTTCTGGGGGAACCCCATCATAGTTCTTAATCCTCTTCACCTGGGCTCCCCTGGTGGCTCAGCTGGTAAAGAATCCACCTGCAATGCGGGAGACTCGGGTTTGATCCCTGGGTTGGGAAGATCCCCTGGAGAAGGGAACGGCTCCTCACTGCAGTATTCTGGCCTGGAGGATCTCAGGGACTGTATAATCCACGGGGTTGCAAAGAGTCAGACAGGCTGAGCGGCTTTCACTTGATCTAGGGCTGACTGTTCTCCGGCCTGAAGGCACTGGCTGTCTGCTTCACAGGGCGGTTGGTCCTCTGCTAATTCGAAACCCGGGGTCGCTGCAGGCATGGCCCGGAGTCCCCCTCTCCGCCGGTCCCTCGGCCTAGATGATCCCCGAATGCATCGCGTGTGACTTGGGCACAGCCTCAAGGCCCTCCTTGAACGCTCTGCGGGAAGAACGCTCGCGTTCCGGCGCCAAGCCCACAGGCCCCCATCCAGACCCCGG